ATACTCAGCAGGTCAAAAAGGACTCTCAAGTAAGTACATGCCCTAGTAAAAAAGTAATATATTTAAAATAAATTTATTTCATACTAAGTATAGTTAAAATCTTTACTGACAGATAACTCGAGACTTACTGATATAAAAATTATAATTAAACTTTACTTGGCATATGCACAATGCACTTTTCTTAATATTAAGTCTAAAATGTGTTTTAATGTCACTTTTGATGAGGATTGTATGATCTTTCAATAATATCTGACTTTAAATGCAAAATATTTAAAGTGTACCTGAAGTATACTTGTAATAGTTCCACTTTAGCACAATAAAATATACTAAGTATATATGAAGAGTTCAGATGCAAAAGCCTCTAAAAGCCATCTTGGTCAAAAATGAGATAATGATACTGAGTGAATGCTCTCCACACACAGCATATGTTCATCAAGTACTTTCACTTCAAATGCGCTAAATCCCAGCCTCAACCCATTCAGAAGTACCAGTACTTGCATAGAAACCTATACATACATCAGAAATAAATGCTAATTTTAAAGAAAAACATCAGATGTACTTAGAGGCTTTTGCATCTGAACTCTTCATATTTAATTGTACTTCAGCACTACTTCTGCACAATTAAAGTGCATTAAGTACAAAATTAGTTGTTTTTAGCAGATTTTAAGTATACCAGTTTAGTATACTAAAAGTACAATTGCAAGACATTTTATTAAGTACATACAAATAAAAATGTATTTGTAGCATACTTAGCATGAAATAAATGTATTTCAAATACAAGTATATTTATTTTTCACTAGGGCGCATTTAAAATAAATGCAGATGTGAGCTAGAAAGTTATTTTCATTTAATTGTAAATAACATGCAGTTAGGTGTCCAAAGACATTACATTCAGATTGCACTTACAGTAAGTATATTATTTCTGTACTCTTTTCAAAAGTTTGCAAAAGTGTACTAAATTTTTACAAGGGATGATATGACTTGTGTGCTCTGTTTCAAGTCTTTTCATGTATCAGTCTTTTTGAGTTTACATACAGTATATGCCTATTTTTATACACAAAAGTAGTATTGTTCAGTGTTGAGTATGGAAATATAATAAGAACTTACATACATGAATATGAACCAGGCTGATATGATTTGTGTTGGCTTAAAGGTCAAGTACAAAGCTAACTGTAAGACCTTCAGTGAGAGCTGAAGAGCCCTTAAAATATCATTGATGGATTAATCTTCAGTGGTATCAAATACTGCTAGTGCAGGGTATCGATTCAGATGTCCCGATTCGATTCGATTTTGATTCGCAAGCTCTCAATTTGATTCGATTCGATTCTTAGTTCGATTCTTTGATTACATTCAGTGAATATAGTTTTAATACAAATGCTATTGATGTTTCTAAAAAATGAATAGTAAACATCAGTTTACAAATGGTGAATTAATAAAAAAGAAATTAAGAGCCACAGGCCTGTATTTTAAACCTATTCATTTTTTTGTATAGGGTCCTTTTTTAAACAATAATAGGGCCTAATAAAACGTTCTTCTTAATTTTTCTGGTAATCGGATTAAATTAATTTAATTTATCCTAATCAAATGAAAATTAAACCCTTTTATTTTTTGGCAAACAAAGTGCTGCACAACAGAGGTTTACTGTTAAAATTAAAAAGAAAACAAATGTGATTATTCCTTTAAAAATACAGATTTATTCATATTTATTAGTAGTAGTAGCAGCATTGTTGTTACATTGAGTCTTAAGAATGCTAAATAGTAATATTTCTGATACAGTTTCTTCATGTTAAACTAAACTTTTATTTTGATGGGTTGCCATGAAGAAATTGCAGATGCTGTGTATGTGATATGAAGGTAGTTTTGTCAAATGAAACGGTAAAATGCTAATGAAGTGACTCTCAGAGCAGCTGGAGATGATATTCGTGTGTTCATATCATCATAGTGAGACGACAGAGGCTGAAAACACTGCGAGCATCGTCCCCGCTTTAGTAAGTGTGTAGTAAACAAAACAGTGCGTCGCACCATCCTCCATTCATTCATTGCGGAAATCATGGCACCTTTACGCGTGATGTCAAATGCTTCCACACATTTGTAGTATTACTATAGAATTTTACCTGAGCATTGCAAATCACGCATATTGCTTTGTTCTTGGTTCTTGTTAACAGTATCTCCGCTATGATAAGCACTGAATGAATGACAGGCTTTCCGTTGTAACATTGCGTAAGGGTGACATCTAGTGGAGAAGATTAATGATGATATTCACATTAATCAGATTTTGTTTTAAATGTTTGCTGAAATAAATACCGGAAAATATCGATTTGCGGCGAATCGAATCGAATATCGAATCGACGTCATTTAAAAAAACGATTAATCGAAAAAAATGAAAATTAAACCCTTTTATTTTTTGGCAAACAAAGTGCTGCACAACAGAGGTTTACTGTTAAAATTAAAAAGAAAACAAATGTGATTATTCCTTTAAAAATACAGATTTATTCATATTTATTAGTAGTAGTAGCAGCATTGTTGTTACATTGAGTCTTAAGACTGCTAAATAGTAATATTTCTGATACAGTTTCTTCATGTTAAACTAAACTATTTTGATGGGTTGCCATGAAGAAATTGCAGCTGCTGTGTATGTGATATGAAGGTAGTTTTGTCAAATGAAACGGTAAAATGCTAATGAAGTGACTCTCAGAGCAGCTGGAGATGATATTCGTGTGTTCATATCATCATAGTGAGACGACAGAGGCTGAAAACACTGCGAGCATCGTCCCCGCTTTAGTAAGTGTGTAGTAAACAAAACAGTGCGTCGCACCATCCTCCATTCATTCATTGCGGAAATCATGGCACCTTTACGCGTGATGTCAAATGCTTCCACACATTTGTAGTATTACTATAGAATTTTACCTGAGCATTGCAAATCACGCATATTGCTTTGTTCTTGGTTCTTGTTAACAGTATCTCCGCTATGATAAGCACTGAATGAATGACAGGCTTTCCGTTGTAACATTGCGTAAGGGTGACATCTAGTGGAGAAGATTAATGATGATATTCACATTAATCAGATTTTGTTTTAAATGTTTGCTGAAATAAATACCGGAAAATATCGATTTGTGGCTTTTGAGAATCGATATCGAATCGACGTCATTTAAAAAAACGATTAATCGAAAAAGCTATTTTTTTTGCCCAGCCCTAAATACTGCATCCTGATAATGAAGAAAAGCAGTTACATTTGCTAGGTATAGAGAGTGTGAAAGATCCAGAAAAAAAAAAAAGTCCAGGACAGGTGCTATAAAATTCAGTGTGTGATTCTCACAGCAGGGAGCAATAACCCATAACATACTCATTCAAAGGATGTAAGATCATTGGGCTATATAGACATAATGTGATGTTCAACCCAGATCTAATTTAGTTTAATAAAGTCATGTAAATATCGATTTGCGGCGAATCGAATCGAATATCGAATCGACGTCATTTAAAAAAACGATTAATCGAAAAAGCAATTTTTTTTGCCCAGCCCTAAATACTGCATCCTGATAATGAAGAAAAGCAGTGACATTTGCTAGGGATAGAGAGTGTGAAACATCAATGGTCAGGTAAAAAAAAAAAAAAAAGTCCAGGACAGGTGCTATAAAATTCAGTGTGTGATTCTCACAGCAGGGAGCAATAACCCATAACATACTCATTCAAAGGATGTAAGATCATTGGGCTATATAGACATAATGTGATCTTCAACCCAGATCTAATTTAGTTTAATCAAGTCATGTTCTAACTTTGCATTTTTGAATTTCTGGTTCCATCGTCCCAAAATTTTTTTTTTTTTTTTTAATGCATTTACCTTTCCTGATGGAAAAAGTCATGTTCTAACTTTGCATTTTTGAATTTCTGGTTCCATCGTCCCAAAATAAATGTTTTTTTTTTAATGCATTTACCTTTCCTGATGGAACTGAAAAACCTAGAAACAATAGTATTTAATATGAACAGCAGTGGACTTTATGGTTACATTGCACTCTTGATTTTTTTTGGTGTGTGTACAGTATGTGTGTCTTGAACTAAAAAACTTGCTTAATGGAACTACAGAGTATAGAGGTTGTCCGGGACATGAAACATCATCACGACAAACATCATATACTCACTACCACTTGTGTTTATACCCATACTCTTGCGCATTATTCCAAATCAAACATTCCAATTTGTAGATTTCAAATAAAGATTGACATTTTCTGAAGTCTATTTTTTTCTGAGACTATTTTTAGTCTGTAATATTGATATAACTTGTTGCAGTAGCATACAAAGTCACCCCCTGATGCTTCATTTTAAGAGAAATTCAGAAATTTAATAATGCAAACCACAAACAGTGATGACTGAAAATTAAATATGTGCACTGAATATATAATATCTCATCAAATAGACTGCAGGAACAGCTTTCTGTTAATACAAAATAGCACTCTTGAGTATTTTAGGCAAGCAGCAGCCAACGTTTGCTTCTTAGCATCCAAATGCATTACTTTGTGTTCAATGTACTCACATGATGCCGAGTTTCATCAACAGTATCTTCTGCAATATCTAACAATTTGTGACAGATGCCTGTTTATGATAGGTTTGCAACAGTGACAGTGTGACACATTCTAGAACTCGATCTTGACACATTTTCTCTGGCATATCTTGCTATAATGAAGCTCCAGGAACCAACAGAAGCTATATGAAATGAGGAGGACAGTTTGACGCTACGGGCCGTCACGTAATCCTAATCAACAGGATGGCTCTCGATGATTCCTGTGCAAGCTGAAGTCAGCACACGGGTGAATGAGTTTGTGTAAATCGTCTTTGTATGAAGAGGGATTAATCTGAATGAAAATGGTGGGGAAAAATTATGTGCGCAGTGCAAATGATTATGATTACAGGATGTCAAACTGGAGTGTTTTTTTTCCTGGGTAAGTGTAGATGAGATTGAAAACCCCTGGATGATATTTGCAGTCAATTTAGACGGAGAAACTGGAATGGATCGATACACCTCTAAACTGTCTCCTGCTGTTGATTATGGTGCGGGAACGTTCTTGCTGGTGGTTGGTAAGTGCTGTTTTTATCACACTGCTATTGAAAAATACAAGCAAGGTGTTACATTTTACGTAATCCTAATCAACAGGATGGCTCTCGATGATTCCTGTGCAAGCTGAAGTCAGCACACGGGTGAATGAGTTTGTGTAAGTCGTATGAAGAGGGATTAATCTGAATGAAAATGGTGGGGAAAAATTATGTGCGCAGTGCAAATGATTATGATTACAGGATGTCAAACTGGAGTGTTTTTTTTCCTGGGTAAGTGTAGATGAGATTGAAAACCCCTGGATGATATTTGCAGTCAATTTAGACGGAGAAACTGGAATGGATCGATACACCTCTAAACTGTCTCCTGCTGTTGATTATGGTGCGGGAATGTTCTTGCTGGTGGTTGGTAAGTGCTGTTTTTATCACACTGCTATTGAAAAATACAAGCAAGGTGTTACATTTTCTACATCAATGACAACCCTCTGAATTATACCTACACTCTAAAAAATGCTGGGTTGTTTCAACCCAATGTTGGGTCAAATATGGACTAACACAACTGTTGGGTTAAATTTTGGTTACATTTTTAAATTAACTTTTTAACCCAACAGTTGGGTTAGTCCATATTTGACCCAACATTGGGTTGAAACAACCCAGCATTTTTTAGAGTGTAAGAAGTCATGTCGAGTGTCTGAAGAGTGATAAAAAGATTCATAACCTTCTTCCAGGTTCTGTTTAAATTATGATTATGACAAAAAAAATCATAATTATCGATTTTTCCCTTGAAATTGTAATTGCGATTACACGATTATCACAATTTACATTGAATGATGTTTATACCATTGTTTGATGCAACTGCATGCCGTATTTTTATATGAAAATAAACAAGCTGAAAACACTCTAACTGAAAAACCTTTAGTGTTTTTCTATAGTATTAAGCCTCAAATGACAACTATACATCGGATTGGTTTCTTCTTTAAATGATAAAAAAAGTAAAAATATGGATGGTATTATAATTTTATATTAAAACTAAAACAATGGAAAAACCCTTACGATAACATGTAGAAAGAAAAAAAACATATCTTAAGCGTGCAGAATAACATAAGTGGACTTTGAACGATTAATTGCCGCTTTGGACGATTACGTAACTGTGGCATCCATAATTGTAATCGCGATTAGAAATTCGATTCATTGTGCAGCCCTATTGTCACTGGTGAAATATATAATCTGTAGGATTTGATAAATGCATTTAGTTTAAATGAGACTTTGAGAAACTGAAACATTCACATAAAACATATTAACTTTTTTCCAAGTTGTTTGATCTACATATATTTTTTTATGTTACATTCAGAGGCGGACAAAATACTCAACTCCATTACTTGAGTGAAAGTACAGATATCGCTGGTCAAATATTACTCCATTACAAGTAAAAATTGTAAAGACAGATTTTTACTTAAGTAAAAGTACATAAGTACTTGCTTTTAAAAGTACTTAAGTATCAAAAGTAAATAAATTTTTTTATGTCAATGCACTGTTTTATTGTCGTACATAATACTTGCAATACTTCTGAAGCAATTTAGAATACATTACACCTGCTGAATACACTGACTAGCTTGTAGTATCTTTGGAATAAAGAGCTTTTAGAATGTTAAAAACCTATGGGGGGAAAAAACATAAATAAATAAATATTTAACACCCCTACCCACCCCCACAAAAGCAGGATGGTAGTGATCTCACACAGCTCTGACAGTGTGTGCACATCTATGTGTAGCCATTCATCCACATTTGAACAGAGTGGACAGTGAAATCCTGTAAATACAGGGTGATAAGGAAGAAACAAAATCAAACCTGCTTTAAAACCCAGCAACACAACTGTAGCTGTATAACTTTACAACAGAAACACTGCTTTAACAAAATAGCAAAACAGCAAGACTTATTTGACATCAAAACTCAAATTAAAAAAATGCTGTCTAATCGCTCTCGGTGTACTTTGATGTCACACACAGAACAGTCCGTGCAGTGCTGCTTCAGTCAAACACCTTTTGTGTTTTATGCACAACCGTTTTTCTGTGGCTTTATAGGTAATATTTCACTTACACAATTTAGCAAAATCAGACAATATTGTGTCTAATATATACCACAATATTACCTTTTATTATTGAATTGTTGTAAATAAATATCACATTTGCAACTGGTCAGTGTTCAAAAAATGCTGGGAAATC